GCTCACGAGGCCCATGCCCGAGTCATGAATGTGCATGAGCCTGCCTTCTGCTCTCACACGTGGGCATCGCCTGCACTCACAGCGGGTTCAATCTGCATGGGCTTTGCATGTAACTAGGGCCTTATTTTTGGAAGGGGGGAAGGGCAGGTCGGCATTGGTGGGTAATCTTATTCCTGGGGAGAACTGTCAATCAGCACCGCTAAAACACAAGCTGCCCACCGGTAAGGAGGAAGGCCGGCAGCTGAGCGCTGACAGCCCGCACACAAAGGCTGCCTGGCTGAGCGGCTTTTGATTCCTCCCTGAGCAGTGGGAAGGGGAATTGCTTCCGATTGTCGCCGGTGGAGTGACTCAGCCTGCCAGCGATTGCGCTTTCACTTTCTGCCTTTCCTCCGAATCCAAGGGCACTTAATTGGGTGCCGCGTGGGCCCTGGCTCCCAACACCCCAGCAGCCTGAACCCCTTTAGCACCTCAGCACCCTCAGCCTCTCCTTGCACCACACGGCCTCCTCCATTCTTGCCTCTTCAGCCATTCACTCAGAAAATGTGTACCGAACTCCTCACACCGAGTCCTTTCGGGCGGCCAGCCGAGGCTTGCAAACCGAACTGAGATGATTAACCAGCTCAAAGGCTCACCCCTGCCCCGGCCACGGCCCCCTGACCCCCAGTCTAGAGCAGCACTCTGGAGGAAGGGTCAAGAACAAGAAGTACAAAGGCTGGGAGGAACTCCAGATAAGGAAGCTGATTCTGGCTAAGTATGGACTGGGGGAGGGCGCGGGGAGGGCGCAGGGAGGGTAGTCCTAAAAGGGGACTCAATTAGCCCTAGGCACGTGCCCCATTCAGCCACAGAGACCTCTGCCCCAGCTGGCTGGGGGCCCGCCCACCAGTCTGGTGCAGTGGAGCCCCCAGCCCCAGCTGGCAGGCGCCTCGGGGCTGTTCTCACATCCCTGCAAGCCCCAGCTGCTGTCCTGCCCTGAGCTGAGGCCAGTCTGCCTGAGGAAAAGGTCCCCCTGAACGCATCCCTGTGAGCCCCGGAGAGGTGGGCCTGGGAGGGGGGCGGGGCCCTTTCCCAAAAGACCTGCAGATTGGTGAGTGCTTTTATTTTAACTGGATGTGTAAAAATGACGCTCCGGCAGCTTTCCGAGCTACTTCACAGTTTCAGCGGGTTTGGTTGACATTTGTGCACATGTCCTGCCCTTACAGTGGGCAGGCATTTTGATACATCTGATTTCACTGCATCCCAACAATGGCTGTGTATTGCATTGCTTGTGCTTATCTAGCATGTAAGGAAGTAGAGATGGTGAGAGGTGGAATCAGGCCACATGACAAAACGGGCCTCTCAACCTGTGACCCTTTGTTGAGAGCCTGATGTGATGATGCAGGGAAAGTGAGCGACAGCATGGGCCTGATGCAGGGTGCCTAGGGTTCCCTTGATACAGGGCAGCAAGTAATCCAAATAAGCAAACTAATCCAAACAAGGGAAATATTGTAACTCCCAACCTGCTCGATACCGAAACACAAGTTCATCTTCTCTAAAATCGAAGAGTGAATTCTAGGAAGAACAGAGGTTAAGAGTAGGGAAAATTTATTGAGAAAGATAGCTTCTGCCTAAGAGAGACCAGAGGGGCACCGGAAAGTGGGCTGCCCGCCGACCTTGCTTCTCAAAGGTGTTTTACGGGGCAGAACCACGAGGTGAGGTGGGTACAAAGCGGGACAACCCTGTAATACCCAACGGCAAAATCACAAGGTGGGCCTGAGGTGGGACAAAACCGCAATCAACCAGTAAGATTATAAGTAAATCACCCAGGTGATAGTGATTAAATGGAGATCAAATGGGGAAGTTACTCACGCAGCTCATACTTGGATTTCCTGGCAGGAATGGGCTAGGTAGGGATGGTTGGGTCCCCAGTTAAGGTGACTGAGGTCTGCTTAGAATATCAGTCACTGCTGTTCAACCCTAGGGAAGTAGGTGGGTGTTGTAGTTTCTCTCTTTTTAATGTTAACCTGCGATGAATGTGCCTCACTTGTTTTCTATGCTGAGGGCACAGCCTTGACCAGCTGCCTGATAATTTCTAACTTAGCTATCTGCAATACTTCCTAGGGACTTAAACCTCCCAGCTACAAGCGATTGTAACGGGCTCAGAAAGGGAAATGAGAGTCCCAGAGCTGGAGTGGGGCAGAACCAGAATTAGGTCCGTTAGTTCCCTGACTCCCACCCAGCCTAGCATCCCCCCGCCATGCGGCTCTGCAGGCAGAGGAGGAGAGGGCAGCATGAAAGGTCAGTGCCACAAACGGGGTGACCTACATAGCGTCTCCTACCAGAGCATCTGAGAGATGGGGCAGAGGATGTCACAAGAACTTTTGCCTCTTTTTTTTTTTTTTGGTACCAGGGATCAAACTCGGGACCTTGCGCTTGTGGGGCTGGTGCCGGAACCACTGAGCTAAATCACCGGCCCTCGCCTCTTTCTCTGTGAAAGAAAAAGTATAAAACCACTCAGATGCTGGGGACAGAGAGGATGAACTCTAACCAGGCAAACTCCTGAGCATCCTGTGCTTTCCGCTGATTAGGGCTGCTATTTACACTCTGTTGATTTCGGTGCCTGTACCTGTCGTATCTCTCAAACACATCCTTGGAATCAGAGACCCTGCTCATATTTCTTCATCTTGGTCAAAAGCTTTTCACAGGATTGCTTATTGGGAAAGAGGGTTCATTTACTTCTCCCCCGAGTAAACCATTGACTCAAAAGTCTTAAAGTCACGAAACCTTGGTTGGAAATGAGCCTTGGATTTTTAATTTTGTCAACTTGTCTTCAGTATGTGCATGTAGTGAGGATCGAGGTTAAGTCGCACATTCTCCCCGCATACCTCACCTTCCTGTCTGGGGCATAGGTCAGGAATCCTTATGCTTCCCTGGGAGCTGATTTCTTAATATTTATTGAGCATGTATTATGTTTTTAGCACTGTGCTCAATGGTGTGTTTGATACAAAGAAGCCTTAGTTCCATCTCCGCCTTCAAGGAAGATGAAAGATAATTGAGGAGATGAACCATCACCTTGAAAAGTTTTGTAAGAGCTATCTGTAAGGTCGAGTGAGCTGAGCACCAGGAGGTCCCCATGGGTCCAGAGCGAGCTTCCTGTCATCAGCTCAGAATAGTGAGAGTAGAGTCAAGCTGGGTAGTGGGCTGCTGCTTCCTGTAGAGAGGAAGCTGAGGATGCAGGGCCAGAATCAGGCTCACGAGAGTCCTACTTTCCTCTCCTGAGAACTGGGTTTGATGGTCACCCCTGGTCTGTCTGAGGGACCATGTGCTGGGTAGTGGTGAGGGTGAAGTCCTCCAAGTTCCACAGATAGAACTAAGTAGAGAGGGTGGGTGTGGCCCCATGGCCCAGATGAGAAACTCTTCTGGGCTGGCCATGCCACCTGGAAGGAAAGGAGCTGCGACAGAGCCCTGTGGCCTCCCAGCAGCCACCAGCCAGCTATTCCTGGAGGTGGGACAGCTCTCCCACCCTGGGCTACCTGCAGTAGCTGCTCTGCCTTCTGGGGTCTCTGAAGACCCCAAGCCAGTCTTCTCTGATTGGAGCAGCACCGTGAGCCCTATGGGCTGGAACCCCATTTGTATTAGACAGCTGTGCACACAGCCCCCTCCCACATGGGGGCCCACGTGGCTACAGCAGGTAGTGCTTCCTCTTCCCTGTCCAGGAATGGGCCCCAGGTGGCCCTGTCTTACTGGTAACCACGTGGAACGCTAGTTGCCAGCTTGGACTTTGAGCTGTGGCCTGGGTAAGTCCCTTCCCCTCTCTGGACCTCAGCACAGACCCTGTATTGTGAAGGAGTTGCTACCCCTGTCCATTCGAGTGGGTCCCCAGTGTGAAATAAGATTGAGTAAAGCAATCAAGACTACAGACTGATACATTCAGTGTGATACCATTTATATAATATATACATGGTGGTCATATAGGGCGTGTTAAAATATGTTTTATGACCCCAGAATGTTCCCACCAAATTCATGAGAATGTTCCCCTAGGGAGAGGAATTGCAGTGGGGCTTGGGAAGGGACAGGCAATGGGGATTTCACCTCGGAGATGTTTTCTGTCTGAAGCCAGTATCACAACATGGTCGTAATTGTCAGTGCTGCATCGGGTGCTTGGATTGTTGTTTTGTTTTGTTTTGTTTTTGTTTGTTTTTTGTTTTTGGTACCAGGGATTGAACTCAGGTCCTTGCTCACAAGGCAGGCACCAGAACCACTGAGCTAAATCCCCAGCCTTGGGTTGTTTTTATAAGTTTCACAGCTTTAAACATTTTTGTTAAGCTGGGAGTGGTGGTGCGCCACTGTGACCCCAGCACGCTGGGAGACTGAGCCAGGAAGATGGCGACTTCAAGACCAGCCTGTGCAACTTAGGAAGGCTCCGACTCAAAATGAAAAATAGGAAAAGAGCTAGGGACATAGCTCAGTGCCAAAGCCCTGGGTTCAAGCCCCAGTACTAAAGTTAAAGTAAATTTTAAAATGTTTAAACACAAGAAGGACGGTGTAGTAGTGGCGCGTTGGGCCCTGGGGGAACCAAGAAGAGGCGCTCTGGCCTGATCTCTGTCCACTGTCTGGGTGGCCTCCCAGCGACCACCTGGGGACCCGTTTGATGTTGTCAGTCAGTCCCAAAGCCGCCCAGGTCTTGGGATGCTGCGGAGCTGCACCTGGAGTGGGAGTGGGAGCGCTGGGCCTGGGCTCACCTCTCACTGCCTGTGCTTTCACTACCTACCCTCTCTGCCGTCTCTGCAGACCCTAGAGAAGCAGGGAGTCATTTAAAGTCCAGTCAGTAACCTCGGACAAGGTCTCCGTCCCTCCCCAAAGTCTGCGTTGGATCCCCCAGAGCAGGAAATGTTCGTGTCACTCAAACTTGGTCAGTGGAGGGATGGGCATCAGGCCCAGGAGCCTTCGGGGGCCATACCCAAAATGTTAGAGGGGTGCATTCCCAATGTTGGAGGGGTGGATCTGTCTCATTAAATCCTCAGGTACTCACAAATCCAAGCTCCAGAAGGAACCCACGTCGTGGTCAGAAATAGACCGGAGGGGACTGCGCGGGCTGTGCAGGGCTGAGGGGAGATCGTGTTCTGTGCCCTGTCTGTCCAGTGCTGCTCAGTCGCTCCCATTACCCCAGAACTCAGAGTGGACGGTAAGCTTATTTCTCACTTCCCTGAGTCCAGACAGACCCCTTTCAGCTCCATGCCTCTCCTTCCATGCTGCGGAAGGTGGTGATGAGAGGAAGGTGTTGTTTGGTTTGAGCCCTGGTGTCTGGGAAGGAGCATGCAGAATGGAACGTGAGGGGCCATGTCCTGGGCAGGCTCCCACCTAAGGGTGTGGGAGCAGGAGCCTCTCGGAAGTGATAGCATCCCTAGGGATGGTCCTAGGGAAGTGGCTGCCCAGTGCAGGGCGGGCCTGGGGAAAAGGTCGAGGTTGTGTCTGAATTCCCTGGGGCGAGGTTCTGAGAAGTGCAGGCAGAAGGCCTTGACTTCCTTTTCTTCTCTACTCAGTATCTACCTCTGCCTGCCTCCTCTGTGGGCTGCTCTGCTGCCCTCAGTGTGAGACCCCTTCCTCCTTCCCTCCCGCTCTGCCACTGCTCCTGAATCTCCAAGATCTGTGCCATGGCTGGCTTTACGCCTAGCCCATGGACATTGGCTTCACGGAAATTAAGATCTGCCCCCTTCACCCCACCTTTAGAAGGGACAGAGACAGCAGTTGGGTAGGGTGGGTGAGAAGATTTAGGCTTGGGAGCCCAGCTGAGAGGGCTCCCCCGCAAGCTTTCTTCGGTGGTTTCTCCAAGTTCACTGTGAACAAGTCCGGACACTTAAAGCTTAGCCGCAGTAGAACCCGGGGTAACCACAGAGCAGCTGTGCGTGTCAAGACTTGGGGTTAGCTCGCAGGTATCTGGGGTTAGACAGGAATGCTCTCCAGGGGACCAGAGGTGGCTGTCCTTTGGCCACTCCTCCCCTCACTCCTCTCCTTTACTCTCAGCAGCCTTTGTCATCTCTCTCTCAATCCCTGAGCTCCCGGCACAGCCCCCCTGCATGAGAGTCCTTCACACTGCTGCTCAGGAGAATGCCCGCGCATATGGGGCCCTGAAACCTTGCTGGCATTTGTCACAAGGGAAATGGCTGGGGTCAGCAGATTTTGATTTCTCCAACCCTGGAGACTCGCTTTGCTCTCTGGGACAGGAGCCCAAACATCTACCATCCCCAGCAGCATACTGGAGAATGAAGAGGGTAGCATTCAGGTCTGAGTTCAAATCCTGCATTGCTCACTGGTCAGTTGAGTGGGCCCATAGCATTGAACCTCTCTGAGTTGGTGTCTTGTGTTCCTTGTTTTTGTTTTAGGAGCTGCAGATGCAAAGTCTTTGCTGTCACCAAGCTCATATTCTGGTGGAGACACACACAGTAAACAATCTCATTTAAAAATAAGAGTCTGGTAGGTGAAGGCAAGGAGATTGTAGAAAAGAACAAAACAAAACAGATTGGTGTAATAGAAGTAGTGGAGGAGCTTGAATTTTTCTGTGGTATCCAGGGAAAGCCACCTCACTTAGGGAGGTGAGGCTGGAGGTGAGATGTAAGGGGGAGGAGGAACCAAGGGAAGAGGCGGGGCAGCAGGAGGGCCAAAGCTCTAGGTGGGTGGAGAAGGGCTTTGTGCGTCAACAAGTGTGGCTGCCGTGTACACGGGAGCAGGGAAGGGATCTTGCGAGCTAAAGTTCGGCAGTGAGAAATATTCAGGAACCAAGTCCCACTTGCTCGGGCTCCCAGAATATGTGGAGGAATCTGTTAATGCTAAGAGCTACAGGAGACCTCCAGGCTTTGCATCGAGGGGACATGGCCTGGACATTCAGGTGTGTGTGATGAACAGGTGGGGGAAGTCTCCTTTGGAGGCTCTTTCAGGTCACGTGAGAGGAGATGGCGGTGAAGCCACAGAGCCAAGAACAGATTCGTTTAGCATATGGGTCAGTCAGCTTTCTGTTGCTGTGATAAAATACCTGAAGAAATCAACTTAAAGGAGGAAAGACTGATTTTGGTCCACTGTCCATGGTTGCTTGGCTTGGAGGATTTTGAATCTACAGTAAGGCAATCATGGTGGCAGAGCAAAGGCTCATGATGGCCAGGAAGCAGAAAGGGAGAGAGAGAGAAGCAACCCAGTTCTCAAACTAGGCTCCACCGCCTAAAGTCCCCACCACCTCCCAATAGCGTCCACCCACTTAGGCCTTCAGCACGTGAGTTTGGGGAGCATCCCAGATCCAGGCTATAAAAGTGTCCATAAGGTGCACCCCATCTATGACACAGGCTCCGCGAAGGTGCCACGCGTGTCTACCCTTGTGTTTGTCACCCACACATCAGAGAACACGTAGCCTGGCCGAGCATCCCACTTTATTTCTGTCCTTGTGTTTCATCTTCTTACTGGTCCCATTTAAGACTGGACATTTCCATTTTGCAATGAAAAAACCTCAGAGAAGTTGATTTTTACACCAAGATCTGGCTGGCTCCATAGCCAGTGGCCTGGCTTCTGCATGGTAGTGCTCACAAATGGACAAATAGGAAGAAGCCCCTTGCCCCAGTGGTACCATGAAGAGAGGACAGGAGAGGCTTTTGGCCCAAAGCTGCTTCCTCAGGTAGAATTTCACCTTCTCGGACCTCAGTGAGTTGGCGATCAGTGTCCTGCTGGTGATCAGTGTCCTAGGTGGATGAAAAGCACATTTGTCTGTGCCCACCGTTAGGTTGGCAGAGGAGCCCTGTGCGCCTAGGAAGTGCAGTGTGGGAATTCCATGCTGGAAGGTGCTTGGCACAGAGGACTGGTTCTGGTAAGTGCACTGTGGGACTGAAGATCCCACAGAAATGAAGAATGGTGGCAAGGACACTGGTCATGGTAAAAATAGCAGCTACGCACTGGGCAAGGGGACACACACCTGTAATCCCAGCACTCTGGGAGGCTGAGCCAGGAAGAACACAAGTGTGAGTCCAGCCTGGGCAACTTGGCAACTTAACAAGACCCTGTCTCAAAGTGAAAAAGGCCTGGGAACATAGCTTGAAGGCCTTTGGTTCTACCCCTAGTACCACGAAAAAAGAAAGAAAAGAAAAACTGGAGGCCAGTGAAAATACCTGCCACTTACTGAGTGCCTGCTGACTGTTCAATTAGCAGAGCCCTCATCTGACGGTGGTATTGCACACATTTCTAGCGAGTCTGTGGGGCAGGCTTTGCTGTGTTTCCTTGAGGCTAAGAGGACATTAATTTAATAAAAGCTCTTCACACACTCGAAAACATAATTAAACGTACACAACGAAGTTTGGTTGTCTCATGCTTTGACAAAGGGAACAGAGATCACACTTATTCGTAGCCCAGTCTCTTTATTCTCCAGGCTAACAGAGCAAGTTTGGGTCCAGGTGGTGACAGTCTAAGAGGCTCTGACTGTCTCGGCCTTACTGTCAGTGCTGCTCCCCAGGATCCGTGCCCCCCCCAACCCCCCAACCCCCCCCTCGCTCCGGGGCTTCTTTGACCCCTTTAGGGTCAACAGGATAATTTAGGGAAGAACAGACAGCACCCAGTTCCTTCTGCATCTCCTATTGTTTTTTAAATTGGTGATTGTTTTCCCTTTCATTGGGCCACAGGTCTTGTGACTGGGAAATCTCTCCCTTCTCTGTCTGACACATGCACGCACACCTTCCTAGGTGTGGAAATTGTGTTATCGGTGAGTAGAGATTCTCCTAACCCTACCCCCTACCAAACGTGTGTGCTGTTGACATCTCCACTTCTTCCTGTCTGGGAATGACACGGTGATTATTAGTGCTTAAGCACTGACTGGAGGAGAAGACCCTATTTTCTACAAATTGTTAAGTGCATTGCAGAATGAGTTTGCATATCTTTACCTCCCACGGCACAACCGGCAGTGGTGTGAATGGGAATCCAAAGCAAGCCGATCTTGTACTTCTCAACAGTCAGGCCACAGTCGCCTCCCCCTGCTCTCTCTCCTGAACCCTCTCCAACACAGCCTTTCTTCCCACCACTCCACCAGTATTCATCTTGTCAAAGTTGCCAGCGACCTCCGAATGGCCACATCCGTTGATCAACAATCAGTTGTCATCTCATACAGCAACTAACACCACCCTTAGGAAAAGTCTCTTTTCCTGCTCTCCTTCCGACTGCACCATCAGAGCCGGCTGAGTTTCCCCTTTTCCATCCCCTCTTACCTTTCTCACCGCCTGGGGTTGCTCCTCAGCCGGTGCTCCAGCTTCTCCTGTCTTTCTGCACTTGTTTCTCAGTGACAGTGTGTGGTCTCCCAGCTGGCTTCTGGAGACTGGCATCCTTCACTTGTAGATCTGCAGCCCCAGCGCCTCCCCTGCTCGCTACTGCCTACTCCCCGTCACGCCTTGGATACCCAGCAGGCTTTGCAAACTTGATGTCTTCAGTCAGTCCCAGCCACCCCTCACTCTCCAACCTGCTTCGCCCTACACCAGCTCCATTTGTGGCCATTCAGTAAAATGGCACATTTCTGCTTCTCATTGCTGGCATTAAAACATTAGTCTTTTTTGCTTTTCTTTTTACTTTAATTTTTCTCCTTTCTGAGACATTCTTAACTTCTTTCTTCTACTGCCTTACATCCAATCCTTTAGCAAATCCTACAGCTCAGCCTTCAAATTGCATCTAAAATTTAACCCACACCTACCAGCCTTGCCAAGCAAGGAGGTATATGAGTTACTTACTTAGCTGCCCCACCAGTTCCACCCCAGCCCCTCAGCAGCCTCCTCCTCACCCTGCAGCGGGAGAACACTGCCCCGTGTCCCTGCCCCTGAGAATCTGATGGGATTCTCAGCTGCTTAGGGCCAGTTGGACTCTTCCTGTCCGCCATAGTGGAGCCAAAGCCCTTGTTGCCACCCAGGCCCATGCTGCCTTCCTGACTGCTGCTTCTCCACCTGCCTTGCTAACCTTCTCCACCCCTGCTGGTCCCCGGGCTGCTGTCACATAGCCCAGCATGCTCCACCTCAGGGACTCAGGGTTCGGGGACTCGAGCTTCTGGTGAGCTCTATCTCCCGGATTCCCACATGGCTTGCCTTTTTTTTCCCCTCTCATTTTCTTGATCTCTTCAGAAGCCACCCTGCTACTCCTTTCTGAGTCTGTTTTCTGTTGCTCTAACAGGATACCCCAGGCTACATAATTTATAAACAAGACAGTTAGGTTGGGCTCGTGACTCTGAAGGCTGGGACTTTTAAGATCGGGCACCCACCTCTGGTGATGTCTTTCTTGTCGGTGGAGACTCTGTAGCCTCCAGAGGTGGTGGAGGGCATTACTTGGTGATCTTCCTCTTCTTATAAAGCTGACCCTTCCCTCATGGCCTCACCTAATCCTAATTAACTTCTAATGCTTCCCCTCCAAATACCACCAACATAATGACTTTGAGAATGAAATTCCAGGGACGCACCCAAAGCACAGCACTTGCTGCACCAAACAAGGCCCTTTGCAGATTCCTCTCCTACCCACCATGCTCCGTAGCGTCTGGTACAGGCCACGCTGATGTGTGGATGTGCAGGTCTCGGATCTCCAGGGCATGGAATGGTGCCTGTTCCCAGGCAGCCACTTGGTGGTGGAGAATGAGTGGGGGCTGGGCAGCACTGACAGAGCTGGCTCTGGATGAGCGAGTCCGGCCCCAGCACTCAGTGACACTCCGGAAGTCACTGTGTGGACCTTGCAGAGCCTGCTCTGCCCGGGCTGACTTCTGTCTTCTGTCTCCTTCCAGGTCCATGGCTGTCTGAGCTCTGTGAGGGATTTGCTATGACCACAGTCTCCTTGGAAAGCCAGGTCTGCCCCTCGCTGCCACAGCCACCCCCGGCCCCCGCCTCTTGGTCCCTGTGTTGTTGTCACCATGGGCAGTGTCAGCAGCCTCATCTCCGGCCACGGCTTCCACAGCAAACACTGCCGGGCCTCGCAGTACAAGCTGCGCAAGCCCTCCCACCTCAAGAAGCTCAACCGCTATTCGGATGGGCTGCTGAGGTTCGGCTTCTCCCAGGACTCTGGTCATGGCAAGTCCAGCTCCAAAATGGGCAAGAGCGAAGACTTCTTCTACATCAAGGTCAGCCAGAAGGGCCGGGGCTCCCACCGCCCGGACTACACGGCACTGTCCAGTGGGGACGTAGGGGGCCCGGCCGGGGTGGACTTTGACCCGTCTACTCCACCCAAGCTCATGCCCTTCTCCAGCCAGCTGGACATGGTGAGTGGAGTGGCTCTGGCAAGGGCAGATGGACAGGAAAGGGCAGGAGGGGAGGAGGGGAGGGGTGGCCTGAGCATTTAGGGGGAGTTAGCAGCCTCTGCCTGCAGATACTTGTGGTGGCGAGTGCTGTTTGCTGCTGGAGTGCTGTGACTCCTGGTTCCATCCGGGCCGGAGGTGTCTTTGGCTGAATAAGGGCTGGGATTTTGTTAGCATCATCAAGGCTGCCGGAAAAGAGCCCAAAGTCCGTGGTGCTCAGAAATCCAGCCCTTAAGTCAGCTCAGGTACTCATGAATGCCACCAGAGGATGTGAAAACGTTGTTCCTACTCAGTCCCCACACCCCATCCTGTGAGAAGGAGCCCAGGCTTTGATGGGCAGGTGGAGTATCCCTTATCCAAAATGCTTTGGGCCAGGATTCAGATTGTTTTGGATTTGGGATCCGGGTGTGTGTCTGTGTAGCACCGGGGATCGCATCCAGATGTACTACCAGTGGGTTACTACTGCATCTGCACCCCTTTATATTTTTGAGACAAGCAAGGTCTCATTAAGTCACCCAGGCCTGGGCTCGAATTTGCAATCCTCCTGCCTCAGCCTCCCTAGTATCCAGCCTGCCTGTGCCACCCCACTTGGCTGGATTGTGAAATATTTACCTATGCATAATGAGTTATCTTGACATTAGGATCCAAGGCTAAACAGGAAATTCATTTTATGTTTCATTTACACCATATCACGCAGCCCTAAGATCATTTTATGCAATGTTTTTAACAGGTTGTGCACAAAACAAAATTTCATAGTATGAAATTTTCCATGTGTGGCATCATGTCAGAGCTCATAAGAGTTTTGGACTTTGGAGCATTTTAGATTTGGGATTTTTGGATTAGGAATACTTAACCTGTATCAGAAAAGAGCCTGCTGTGTTTGCACAGAGCTTCCAGCTTTTACTTTTGATTTTTCTTTAAAAATTTTTTGGGTTTTGGGGGGACAGTGTCTTGCTTTGTAGTCTACGCTGGGGTGTAACTCATGAGCCTCCTGCCTCGGCCTCCCAAGTGCTAGGATGACAGACATACACCACCACAGGCACCAGCTTCCAGCTTTCCAAACAAAGGGCTTGTAAATTGCAGAGTGCCTTAACAGTGGAAATTACAAGTTTTAAAAAGGATGGTTAGCTGGGCATGGTGATGTGCACCTGTAATTATAGCACTCTGGGAGGCTGAGACAGGAGGGGTCCAAGTTCAAGCCCAGCCTGGGTAACTTAGCAAGACCCAGGCTCAAAAAAATTAAAAGGGCTAGGGATGTAGATCAGTGTGAAGGCTCTGGTTCAATTCCTAGTTCCACGCACACATACAAAATGAGTGGTTATATCTGGTGATCCTCTGACCCTGGGAGGAAGCCATGTTTAGCTTTCTGGCTCCAGGCTTGATGGAAGAGGCCATGAAGGGGAAGAAGGGACTGATGTACAGCAGGGGTTGAGCTTGTCCAACCTAAACCCCTCCCTTACCACACAGACACGATGAGCGTGGTGTTGACCTCAGCCTGTGAACCTAGGTCGGGTTTGCCATCTCAGGGGGTTGGCACGGGCTGGCACGGTGTCCCAGCCGCCATTCAGGACATTCCTCGGGTACAGAGGGCTCTGTCTCCAGGAGGGCAAGGTGTGCCAAGGCTGCTGAGCGAGAAGGCTGCCACATGAGCTCTGGGCTCGGACTCGCACTCAAGCTGGCTCACATCCCAAGGCGGGGATGAGTGGGGTGCATCTGGGATCAATATGGTTCTTTACCTCCCCAGGGCTCAGAGAAGGGCCCGGTGAGGCCCACAGCCTTCAAGCCGGTGCTGCCGCGGTCCGGAGCTGTCCTGCACTCTTCCCCAGACAGTGCCAGCCACCAGCTGCACCCAGCCCCTCCAGACAAGTCCAAGGATCCGGAGGTGAAACCGGGCCTGTGCTCCGGGGCACTGTCTGACTCTGGCCGCAATTCCATGTCCAGCCTGCCCACGCACAGCACCAGCAGCAGCTACCAGCTGGACCCGCTGGTCACACCCGTGGGGCCTGCCAGCCGTTTCGGAGGCTCAGCCCACAACATCATGCAGGGCATCCTCCTGCAGGACAGCAACATGACCAGCCTGAAGACCCTGTCCTTCTCTGATGGGGGCAGCAAGCTGGCGCATGCAGGCAAGGTGGACAAGGGCGCCTCGTGCGTGCGCTCCCCCATCTCCACGGACGAGTGTGCCGTCCAGGAGCTGGAGCAGCAGCTGCTGCAGAGGGGGAGCGAGCTGCAGAAGCTGCAGCGGAGCTTTGAGGAGAAGGAGTTCACCTCCAGCCAGGCCTTCGAGGACCGGGCACGGCGCAGCCGGGACGAGGTGGACGGCGTGGAGCCCAAAGGTGGTGGCGGGAAGCTGAAGCAGGCAGCGTCACAGAAGAGCCAGCGCACACAGCAGGTCCTGCACCTGCAAGTGCTCCAGCTGCAGCAGGAAAAGCGACAGCTGCGTCAGGAGCTCGAGAGCCTCATGAAGGAGCAGGACCTGCTGGAGACCAAGCTGCGGTCATACGAGCGGGAGAAGACCAACTTTGCTCCGGCACTGGAGGAGACCCAGTGGGAGGTGAGGCAGTGCCACGGTTCAGTGCGTGGTGCCAGTCCCCTCCCCTCAAAATACATTATAAAACTATCCTAATAATTCGTAGAGAATTTGCTAAGTGCCAAGTTCATCAAATCCTTGCAGCCACACTATGAAGTAGGTGGTATTCCTATTCCGCAACTCACAGTTAAGGACAGGGAGGCCCAGGGGGTAAGGGATTTGCCCAAGGTCTGATGCGTATTACAGATCAGAGCCAGGATTTCATTCTAACAGTGTGGGCCCAGAGCTCACATTTGCAATCACTACCCCCACCATATTGCCACCGTTGTGAGTATTCAGGATCACCCAGGTCTTAGACGGTGGAGCCAGGATTCAAAGCCAACCCACGTCTCCACCGTGACTCCTGTTCCCTCCGTGAAACAAATGCCGGTGTGATGTTAGCTTTCTGTCACTGTAACAAAATACCTGAGAAGATTGACCTATTAAGAAAAAACGTTGATTGGCTTACAGTCTTGGAGGTTGCAGTCCATGATCAATTGGCCCATTGGATTTGGGGCTCTGATGAGGGAGCACATCATGGCAAGAGTGTGTGACAAAGCAAACCTGCTTATGTCGTGGCCAGGAAGCAAAAGAGAGAGTGAGGAGGAGGCCAGGGTCCCACAGTGCCCTTTGAGGACACACTGTCCGTGACGCGGGACCAGGCCTTTAACATGGACCCGGGGCGACATTCAAGGTCTGAATGACAGCGCCTGGCCTTGGAAAGATTCTTAGGCCAGCCCTGCATGGTGGTTGGGGCTGAGTGTCCTGCAGTAGGTGCAGTGTCTCGCTGGGATCAGGGGGGAGAGGAAACTCGACAGAGGCCTCCAGTCTTGTTCTGGGAGTCCCTGCTGCAGGTCCCTGGTCCTGGCCTTCCATGACTCTTGTGCCTCAGCCAGCCTGATTGGCCTCGGTCTCTGAGTCAGTGGCTTTGCTCTTCCTCACTGCTCCTGGCCAGACTTGTGGACCTCGGGTATGCAAGTGGTGAAGAGGCAGGGAGGGAGGCAGCAGGGCAGCGTTGGCAGATGAGCCACTGAGCACAGCAGGACTGTGTGAGGTGGCCTGACCCCAGCAGGGAGGGGAGAGAAGGTGGGGCCTCTGCATCGGGGGTGAGGTGGGCGCATGGAGAAACAAAGATGCATGGGAAAATGAGCCTCGAAGAGGGGCTTGCCTGGCCTTCGCAGTTGCCCAGACTGGCACGCTTGGGCACTGTGGCCAGGGCGCCATGTCAGGTGCAGCCTGATCCCTTCAGGAGGCCCAGATGTTCCTTCACCTGGGGTGACACTCACCTGTGTCTCTCCCTCCACCTCCACCCCGCAGGTGTGCCAGAAGTCAGGCGAGATCTCGCTCTTGAAGCAGCAGCTCAAGGAGTCCCAGGCCGAGGTGAACGCCAAGGCCAGCGAGATCCTCAGTCTGAAGGCGCAGCTGAAGGACACCCGGGGCAAGCTGGAGGGCATGGAGCTGAGGACGCAGGACCTGGAGAGTGCCCTGCGCACCAAGGGCCTGGAGCTGGAGGTGTGTGAGAACGAGCTGCAGCGCAAGAAGAACGAGGCGGAGCTGCTGCGGGAGAAGGTGAACCTCCTGGAGCAAGAGCTGCTGGAGCTGCGGGCCCAGGCTACCCTGCAGCGGGAGGGCGCAGCCCTGGGGCCCAGGCTGGGAGCTGCACCCACCTTCTCAGAGGACATCCCCGCCCTGCAGAGGGAGCTGGAGCAGCTGCGGGCGGAGCTGAAGGAGGAGCGGCAAGGCCACGACCAGATGTCCTCCGGCTTCCAGCAGGAGCGGCTGGTGTGGAGGGAGGAGAAGGAGAAGGTGATCCAGTACCAGAAGCAGCTGCAGCAGAGCTACCTGGCCATGTACCAGCGCAACCAGCGCCTGGAGAAGGCCCTGCAGCAGCTGGCCCGCGGGGAAGGGGCCGGGGAGCCCTTTGAGATTGACCTGGAAGGGGCCGACATCCCCTACGAGGACATCATAGCCACGGAGATCTGAGGGGCCACCTGGGGGAGGGGGGCTGGGGACCTGGTGGCGGGGGCTGGGCTGAGTCTTCCCGAGGAGGCCCCCGTGCCATCTGCCCTGCACAGCAGCTCCGGCCTCCCGAGCTCAGCCCTCCCGAGCTCAGCCCCTGGAGCTGCTTGTGGGCAGGGGTCACTACATCGCCTCCTTCCTCTGACCCCTCCTCCCCAACTCTACAGAGCACGGGACTTTGGGCTCTACTCCCCAGCTCTCCCCGAGATGGGACGGCACAGGGTCCCTGTGGTCGGTTAAGGGCTCCCTGAACCTTGGCCTCTGCTCAAGTGAGAGAGACCCTCTGCCGTGAAACCGAGTGCCTGCCCTGAAGGCCAAAAGGCCACACCAAGGACAGAAGCTCCCTTCTGCGTCACTTCCCCAAACCCCCGACCCGGACACTTCAGGATGCCTTGGGAATAGAAAGAAGCCATGTGTGCCCAGAAGCCTTGATCTGTCCTCACGACCTGAGCCCTTCTCCTCTGGCCTCGGAGGTGTAGGGGTCGGGATGGGGCTCGGGGAGCGGCTGGGGTACAGCGGGGCTGAGGAATGAGGACCGGCAGCAGATTAGTGGGGTCTGACATCTAACTGAGCTGTGCAGCCCCTGAACATCTGGTGACATTTGCCTCGGTGACCACCCCTCTCAAAGCCATAGACACAGAGGCTCTGGGTGGGGTGCCGGGACAGGGACACTGAGGCCTGGCCTTCCAGCTGCCCCAGGGAGCCTCCTGCATGTGCCAGCTAGGGCTGAGGGTGCCTTGTGATCTGGGAATCTCGCCCCTCACCTGTGGCCCAAGTCAGCGTCCTCTCCTCCCCACAACATCTTCAGCACTCAGTTCTGGGTCTGCCCAGGTCGGGACGGGCGCCCAGCGTCCTTGGGTGTGTGGGGTGCACACACAGCCTTATGGACAGCCGGGGCTATCACTGCCCTCCCGCTACCTCTCGCCCTCAGGAGCCGTGGGCTGTGAGTCCCTGCCAAGAGCAGTGGCCGTCCAGGGACACAGCCAGTGCCTGTGGAAGGTTAGGCTTTCTCTTGAAATGTCCAGAGCAAGGGGGGAAGAACAGCAGTTTCTCAGTTGCTTGGTTCAGGGAATTTTCTTTCTTTCTTTTCTGGTCTTCTCAGAAGCAAGCCAGATCTAGCAGGCAGCCAGGCTGCTCCGAGTTATATTTTTGACATAGCTGCAGCTGCCGTTGGCAGGACAGCCAGCCCTTGCTGGATTCCTGCTCCTCACGCCTGCCTGCTGAGAGGGCCCAGGGTGGAGGAGAGACAGATGCACCAGAGTCTAGGTACTTGGTGGTCCGAGAACAGTCCCCGGTCCTGGCTTCTTTCCGCAAGCTGATCCCAGAGGCCGGGCAGGAATGGGGCTCGAACTCGCATCCAGCCCTACCCTGAGTGGGGCACCATCCTTAAGGCCCGAGTCACCTGTTCCCTGGCTCAGGCCGTGCCTGTCCTGCTGTGCTCCCAGGACAGGGGCATCCCCTGGAGTCTCAATCCACTGTTCTTAGTCACAGGTTGCTTTGAAACCTGGAATGGCCAGGCTCAAGGGCCCCTCCGTGTCCCCTCCACTGGGGACGCTGCAGACCTGGATCAGACATGCCCTGTACCTTGTTTGAGTCGATCCCATGGAGAGTGAGAATGGAGCCAGCTGCTCTTCCTTGGCCTGAGGCCCCCTGCCCCCAGGTGTACCCTGGGCAGGGCAGGGCAGACATCAGACACACTCACTGGGAGCTAGGCCTTCCCTTTCCATGGCCCTGTGGCCCCTGCCCATCTCAGACATCCACCTGCCCGGGCCATGCCCCCCCCCCACCCCGGCCGAGGTGGCACCAGAATGCAAGGGTGCTGCCCCTCACCTTCCTGTGTGTTTCCTTCCTTCCTTGCCATCGGAAAGCACCCTCGCTATTACTGGACCTGTGCACCAAACCCAGCCTCTGAAGGGAGGCTGTGGGCAGCAGAGGCCAAGCAGGGCCTGGGGAGGCTGAGCTCAGCAAGGCGGCCTGGGGGTGCTTGCTCACTTAGACCTATACTGTCTGCTCCCCAAAAGGTCTGGGCCTGATGGTGCTCTGGTCTCCGCAGAGAGCATCAGCACCCCCTCTCCACGGAGGGGGTCACTTTGGGTATCAGGGCTACCAAACCCCACGGGCACCTCCTGGGTGTGTTCTGTGAGCTCCAGCCAGGTGCACTTAGCCCCCATGGCACTGAGCGAGGGTGGGGGCCAGCGATTGGCAGATCTCCCCAGAAGGCATCCACTGAGCTGTGTCCCTGACCCCAGCCAGGGCCATCTCAGGTGACAGCGCTGCCCAAGGAGAAGCCAGGCTGGGCCATGGGAGCAGCAGCCTCCGGCCGGGGGTTCCCTGTGGCCCTGCCCTCCCAAAGGCCATGGCACCTGCCCTCTGTGCTGTCTCTGGCAAAGCTGGAGCCTGGCAGAAGCTGGCTTTGGGTGCCTGGCCCTTTGAAGACGCTGTACATAGTTATTTTTCTCTGTTTCTGGTTTGCTTTGCATTGCTTTCGGTGACTTCTTATTTTATTTTTGATGTCACTTTTTGGTCATGTAAACTATTTCTGGTAATTCTGTGATTTATTTATGAATAAAGAATGCCATTTCTCATGCCTTTCACAGCCACTTTTGCCTCCTCAAGCTGCTGTGCTCCCCCCTGCTGTGGGGGGGCAGCTTCTTGCAGGTCTTCCCTTTGGAACAGAGGCGCTGGGGAGGCCGCCGACCGCCACCTGGGGCAGGGGACACTATGGCCTGGTGTCCAGCGGAGTCCAGCAGAGGCCGCAGCCCCTCACCAGCTTGGTGACCTTACCTGTGAAGTGGGCCCGGGGTGGCCCAGGCGCAGGAGGGAGGTGGCTGGGGGACACGTGCCTCCGAAGTCAAGGCCGCTGTCCTCCCACCTCCAGCTGCTCAGCTCCCGGCAAAAGCGTGGCCTGCTGCATGCGGTGTCTTGGCAGGAGACCAGAGTGGCCATGGTCACCACATCTCAGGCCCCAAGTCGGGAGGTGCTGTCACCACCGTGGCCGTCTGTCCTGCCTGCCTGGTACCAGCCTGCCTGGTCTACCTTGACATGTGCTCTTTACTCCCCTGGGCTCAGGCCCCGGGCTCAGAGGGTGGCTGCCTGGTAACTGGAGGCAGAATGGGTGGATGAAGAGGGAACTGGGAAGGGGCACGTGGCAGTGTCTTGAGGGGCCAGTGCCACAGGGTTGGTGTCGGGAGTGGGGGTGACAAGCAGGGGAGGACCTGGGTCAGGCTGGGACAGGTGCGAGGAGGAGGGAGAAGATGGCATCGCACCAGGAGCAGGAGGCGCCCGGATGGAGCCAGACAGGCAGTGGCTGCGGCCGGGAGGTCAGGCAGGCAGAGGTGAGGGAGCAGGACAGGCACCTCCCATGGGGTCCATGGACCCCATCAAAGCAGAGGCTCTGGCCAGGCCCCCACTGGGCGGCCCCACTGCTTCCTCCAGGATCCTGTTGGGGACCCAAGCCTCTCCGGAGCACCCCAACCTTCTTCTTCTTCTAGAAAAATAAAATTAATAACAAGGGAAACCGAAAGGGAGAACTCCTTCCCCTGGCAACAGGCAGATCAGTCCTCAGCTGCTGCTTCCACAGCACCGTCTCGGGTATTTTTGTTGAGCCGTAGACTGCACAACGGTGCCTGTGAGGAGGGCGGACCTCGAGGCTCCTCACAGCAGGTGCTCCAGTTATTTGAGGAAGATCTTCAGGCCCCCAAATTCCCCCCTGACCCAGATGTCGCCAGGCCTGGAATATCAGCCTTTCATTCAGCCTTGCACGCGTGCATTCATTCAACAAACTTTTTTTTCCTTCAGTACCAGGGATTGAACTCAGGGTCTTCACACAATACCTCCCCAGCCCTTTTAATTTAATTTAACTAGTTAGCTTATGTGTGTGTTGTGGTGCTGGAGATCAATCCCAAGGCCTTCACAGTGAGTAACACTCCTTCCCCTTTTATTTTTAAATTTTGAGATAGTGTTGCTTAGTCACTAAGTTGCCCCGGCTGGGCTCAAACTTGTGGTCTTGCTGCCTCAGCCTCACGGACTGCTGGACTGTAGGCATGCACCCTCACACCTGCCTCTTCTTATCTTTTATTCCCAGACAGGGTCTCACTGAGTTGTCTAGGCAGGATCCTCCTTGTGATTCTCCTGCCTGAGCCTCCCAAGTGCTGAAATTACAGGGGTATTTCTCCATATCTGGCTTCCACAAGCATTTCTTGAACTGCTTTCTGCCGATCCCTATTGTAGAGACCAGAAATACAGAGATGGTCAAAAACAGTCGAGACCCTGTCTCTTTATGGAGCTCACACTAAACAAGATATTGTTCCATTATACGGGGTGTGGCGCAGGACACAAACAGGGTGGTATGTGCGGGCTGGGTGAGTGCCGTGTTTGCAGAGGTGTGCTGGGGTACTGGGACAGGGAGAGAAAGCCACACGTGTCCCCTGATGTCAGCATTACGAGGGAACCAGCCAGCCACCCCCCTTTCTTAAGGCGGATGCCGCCCAAGCCCTTTCTCGGGGATCCCCTCTCCTCTCAGGACCCCAGCACCTGTCTTCCTAACAGACTGCAGCTTTCAGCCTCTGACCTCAGTTTCCCACGTTGCTGACCCCTGAATGTCTCCAATCTGGCAACCTAGAACATCACATTCCTCCCCGCTAAAGCAAGGGAAGGGTACACCCACCGCCTCCCAGCAGAGGCCTGTGAAAAACTAAACTAAAGCAGGTGTGGCGGCGCACACACCTGTAATACCAGCACTCCAGGAGGCTGAGGCAGGAGGATCATAAGTTCAGCCCAGGCAATTTAGTAATTTAGGGAGACCCTGTCTCAAAAGGGTAGGGTGGGATCCTGGGGATGGAGCTCAGTGCAAGGGCCCTGGGTCTCATCTCCAGCAAGAAAAAAAAAAAAACCCTAAGAATTAAACATTCTTCCATACATGAAAATTAAAGGTGAAATGGCAAAATCCTTAGAGAAATACTGAAATCAAAATGACTTGATTAATCAATCATAACTTCAGCTGGGTGTGGTGGCACATGCCTGCAATCCCAGGACTCTGGAAGCTGAGGCAAGAGGATTGCCTCGAGTTTGAGGCCCGCCTGGGCTACATAGTGAGTTAAGGCCAGCCTGTACTACATTGTGAGACCCTGTCTCAAAAAACCAAAAAAATAAAAAAGAATGTTTGGCTTCAAGGAACTTGTCCATACAAGTTTATTGCAGCTGTTCATTTGGAGAAAGGTCTGCACGCAGAAGTTTGCCTGGCCTGCCATACAATCCACACGTTGTTCACAGTATCTCCCTTCTACCTGCCTGCCGGCACTGTGACTGAACTTTACCTGTCCATCATCCTCTATGCAGTCAGATCCCAAATCCTGTAGGATTCACCCTCTTCTCCACCACCACAGTGCTGAGCTTGAACCCAGTGCCTCACATGTGCTAGGCAAGCACCCTGCCCCCAGCTCTGCCTGAACCCAGGATCTTTCCCCTTTGGAAAGCCCTCCCCAGACCCTCTCCTTCTGATACCTGTTGTCCCAGCTGAGGTCATCTAAAGAAGCACACAGCAAGGCCGGCTTCAATCCAGCTGCCTGAACTTTACAGATGTACAAACGCAGAGTCCAGCAGGACAGAGAACTTCCCCAAGGTCTCCGCTACAGACCCCGTCACCTTGACAGCTCTAAGGAGCCTGCTGGTGGCTCTGCCCGCTGGTCCGTGAAGCCCTAGTGCCTCTCCCACAAGGCCCCCTTTGCTACTCCAAGCCTCCCGTGCCCCCCCATTGACCTCAGAATGAAGCTCAGTCCCCTAACTGGTGCTCAGGGTCTCTTGGTGTGGCAGTTCCAGCAGCCATCATGGCAAACCGGAATCTAAGCACAGGGGCAAGAGGGTTCCCTAAAACACTCCAGCAGCCCCCATCAAGCCCCGAGCACCGTGAAGGATTCCTCTTGCTCTCACAGTGCTCAAGACCACATCCCACCCTGCCACCCAGTCCTGGCTTCTACCCTGAGCAGCAGCACGGTGCAAGGGTGAAACCCGTACTGGAAGAAGCCCAGCTGGCTGGGTTCGCCTCCAGAGTCCCCTGCTGCTGAGCTGTGTGGCATGAGATAAGTGACCTAACCTTTCCATGCCGCCTCAGAGGTTTGACAGTTAAATGAGGTAATACTTTAAAAATGCTAGCTAAGGTATTGCCTCAACTGTTAACACTACTCCACGATTTAGCGCTGCTGCAGCTGTTGCCGTTTGTTCCTAAACTGTTACTGCTTCCTTAGGTGCATCAGCTGTCTCCAGCATCCTGCAGCCTTTGCCCCTCCGCTCTGGACCTCAGAATGTGGTTGGTGGGGTTGGGGACCCCCTAGAAGGGCACAGCCAGGGAAGAAAGGGACCAAAGGATCTGCTAGGGGTGTGGAGGAGCAGCCTTGGGCCCGGAGTGGCTTTGAAACTGCACTCCCGCCTCCCTGAGGGCTTCCCTTCCCCATCCCCTTTCAGCTCTTCCCCTGCAATGCTGCAATGCTGGGCAGACCTTGTACACACGCGTGTGCGTGTGCACAGAGCTCACGGGTCCTCTCTTCTGCTCCCCCGCCCCACCCCCACAGCCTTGAGCACAGCTAATTGAGAGCTGAGATGGCTCCCGACAGACAGCAAGAGTGACCCGTGACAGGTGAGGCAGATTAAATTCCTTGCTCCAAAAATAACAGGCGACTCCCCTGCTTGCCTGGCGTCACTTAGAGGCACCCGCTGGGGCTGTGGGCTGCAGTGAGGTGCTTGCAGTTCTAGATCCCAGCTCCCCCCGTCCCTGTCCCAGGTTGGCTCTTTGGTCAGGAACTCCCAGGGTCACTGGGGCCGCGCTGCCCGGCCCTGCCCCCTGTGTTTAGGTGGAACAGCTCTGTGCTTCTCATGTGGGGAAGCTGTGGCTCAGAGAGAACTGTGTCACCTGGACCCAGTCCCGAGGCCAGATCTTGCCCAGTGCCAGGCTGCCCCTTCCCTCCGAGCTCACTGCTTCCCCCCAGGGCCCAGCTGTCCCTGGTGCGCACAGGAAGTGGCTTCTGCCTGCCTTCCTTCCAGCCCCGCCCCATGTGCCCAGCCCAGGGACATTGTCTGAGGAGCCCCACCCTCCCCTCAACAGTCCTGAAAACGCCCCCTCTTTGGGCTGAGTTCTCCCAAGTGTGACCACGATGGGGAGCAATACAGTAGATCCCTGAAGCAGCTCCCCATACAGAGACGAAGAGATTGCTGGGCTACATTCCTGGGGGTGCTCGGTGTGGCCCGGGATGGGGAAGCAGTTGTTCAGTGATGTGACGGGCAAGGTCGTTTTGCACCAGGCCCAAGGTGGAGAGGGGTTAGGAGGGCAGTCTGAGCACCTTGGCCCTCCCAGTTCTACCGCACTCAACCTGCCTCCCGCCCACCACTGCAGGCGACGCTTTCCAGGGAAGTTCTGGCTCCCGCTGCCATCTGACTGGGCCTCAAGGGCTAAACTTAGAAAGCAGGAGGGGCTGCAGCAATGCCAACTGGCCAGCTCCAAGTGAGAGCTGGCATTGCACTGCAGAAAGATGCAAGCGACAGGGAAACCAGATCAGGGCCCCAACACAAAGCCCTGCTCTCCTCCCCACCCCAGCTGGTGGCCAAGGGAAGTGATTGCTCTCTGGCTTTGTTGCACATGGCCATCTTGGAGACATCTCTGACGGGCAAGGATTTTCCTACTTATAGGCACCCACAGGCACAGCTATATCGAAAAGGAAAAGGTATAATAAACCAATTCCTTATGCCCACACAACAGTAAATAGCGCTCATTTTCTCTAGGTTTTAGACGCCTTACAGAGTTGATATTGAAAAGGAGAGCTTAAGAGAGGTGTATACGTGGGAGGTGGGTGTGGGCGTGAGCGGGTTTGACGCGGCTGTGGGTGTGCATGCATGCCTGGCTGCTGGCCTGAGTGCACACGGGTATGTGGGGGGAGTGCGTGGGTGCAGGAGGGACTGGAGCACGTTCCCAAGGAGGGAAGGGGCTCACTTCCTCCCTCACCTTCCCTTTGTCCCCAGCTCCCCACAGTGCCTGGACATCCTGGCGTGTGGCCTCCTGGGGAGCTGTCCTGCCTGCACCTAGGCACAAGCAGCCAGCAGGCTGGGCAGAAGGTGGAGGTAGCCGTGACCTGGTCACAACAGAGGTCAGGTTGGGGTGAGCGGTCTGTGTGGCCCGACACTTATGTTGATCCCACAGCACAGCCATGGCCTGTGCGCCACCCTGGGAAGGGCCATGCCTGCACCAGGGAGCCAAGCACACCCCTCGAGGGAAGCAACTGAGTTGCCTCCTCTACACTCCCAACAGGAAGGGAAGGAGAGCCTCATCTTGAAGCGAGTCTCACCACGGCCTGCACCACCTCCCTGTGCCTCTCTTCTCCTGTGTCCCATGTGTGCTCTCATTACTGTCTCCCTCTACCTGTGAACCCTGTACCATCCTGATGGGGGGTGGTGGTGCAGGGTTCAGCACCGCCCTCTGAGTCCTCCATGGATGGCACCACGACCAATCCGGAAGTTCTGGGGCACAGCTGAGGTATGAGTTCCCCTCCTGATTCCCCTCATCCTGTCCCTAAATCCAACAATGAGGGTGTGCAGTGACCCCCACGGCCCAGAGCCAAAGTGGTGCATGAATTCAGGGAAAGCACAGGGCGGAGAAGAAGTATTTGTGGGATATCTCCAGCGTCCCCAGGTGACCAGTCAGAATTGGCCAGGGAGGTGCTTGGCCAAGGTCAGGTGGTTGATTATAATGCTTTGGGGAAGTTTCCCAGAGCCAGTTCAGTTGTAAGCCACCTCAGAGCAGTGGCCCCATCTTTCCTTTGTGCTAGTCAGCTTTCCATCACCATAACAAATACCTGAGATGATCATCAACTAACATAGGGAAAAGGTTAATCTTAGCTCACAGTTTTAGTGGTTTCACTCCATGATCAGTTGGCCCCATTGTTTTGGACCTGTAGAGAAGCAGTGCATCATGGTGGGAGCTTATGTCAGAGCAAAGCTATTCCCCTACAACAGGAAGTCCCACAATTCCCTTCAAGAACACGCCCCCAATAACCTAAAGACCTTCCATTAAGCCTGGCCTCCACCACTTCCCAATAGTGCCACCAAGCCTTAACAGGGGGAGACGTTCCAGACCAAGACTCTAGCGTTCCTCAGTGCCTCCCAGGAAGCTGGCCCAGCCTGCACTCCAGCACAGCCATGGTAGGTGCTCAGCACTGAGGCAGAAAGGGCTCTGAGGAGGACACTGATCTTCCCATCCACTCCACTCTGGGTTCTCTCCATCGACCTTGAGCAAGCCCCTTGATCTCCAGGGACCCAGCTCCCTCTGCCCACTGTGGCCTGGGTGGTATGAGCAAGCAGGGCTCTTAGCCCTGGGCTGCTCGGTGAGGCTTTCCTAGGCGGAGAATGACAGAGGAAGTGGCCATTTCCAGGCTATTGTGCTCTCCAGAGAGGACAGGGAAAAGGCGGAGACAAAAGGACACAGCAGTGGAGAGGCCTGGGGAGGGCGTGGAGCTCTGCATTCAGCAGCCTAACAAGCAATGAGATCAGGAAGCCACTTTGGCAAGGGGCGGGGGGGGGGGGGGGGGGGTGGACGCCCCTGCTTTGTGTCCCAATTAGGTGACCTTGGAGCAAGCACAGGACTGTGTGGAGTCTTTAAAGCAGCTTCAGGCCAGACACCCTAGGAGCCTCGTGACTTCCTGGTGCCGGGAGGTTTGTTACCCTCGGCTCACAGGTGCCAGTAACAGCGCCAGTGCCTGTCTCCCCCTCGCTGTGCTCCGGTCTGCCTGGGCCTAGGAGGAAGGTCAGACCAGGCAGGCAGAGACTCTGCGCGCGACACCTGACCTCAGAGTGAGCGCAGGCAAACGCCCCCTGGCCCACCAAGGTGCTAACCGCGTCTGTCTCGGAGGTTCGGGTATCCACAGCCTGCTTCTGCTCCTGGGAGCCTGACTGCAGGATCTATGGAAGAGGAGCGCAGCGGGCAGCTTGAAGAGGGCGGCTCAATGGTCACTGGAGGGCTTGGCAACATTCACCCGCCGTGGGTCCCAGCAGCCTTCATTCCGGCCACCGCACCCCACGGTCCACGGTGGCAGCACAGCGCGCAAAGGTCTCCTTGTGCGAGGCCTGCAAGAAGGGCAGCTTCAGCCCGAAGACAAGCGGCCACAGGCTGAGCTCTGCTCTGCAGCAGCCAGGCTGGGTACCGCTGCCTCCCGGGGAAGGGCGCAGTGCGGCGCTGTAAGCGCCCCAGGCTCCCGAATTAAACGGGCAAATGCAGAGCCAAGTGGGGGTGGGGATGAGCTCCAGGCTCTGCCCTCAGAGTTCACGTCTGATTAAGAAGAAACAAACACAAGTAATTACACCCCAGGGCTGCAGGACCAAGAGGAGGGGCGGCAGACGGGGGTGGGGCCTTCGCCTTCCAGGCTGCCCAATCCCCCTTCCATTTCATTATGTGGCTTCAGGGCTCCGGCCGCACCTCAGTTACAGTGGGCTCGGCTTCCTTAGGGAGCAGGGGAGAAGGGGGACGGGCTGATCGCTCAACCACAAAAGGCAGCCTCACGGTAGATCCCTACTACAGAGAGGGCCTTGCGAAACTTTGCCCAGAGGTCCAGTTTGTGAACACAGCAGAGGCCCTGTGACTTTTCATTTTCTGTCCCTGGAGGAGGTCAGGCAGCCTCTCAAAGCCTCTCTTCTTTTTTTTCTGGAAGCCCAGGCTGGCCTCGAACTTTGCAGCAACCCTCCTGCCTCAGCCTCCCAAGGGCTGGGATTGCAGGTGCGAGCCATCACACCTGGCCTTCCTCTCTAAACACATAAGGAGAGGAAGACCTTCTACTTCTTTTCAGGCGTCTTCCTTTCCTGGCTGCTATACGGAGCACCACAGCACGCAAGCCCCCAGACAATCGAAGCGTGTTCTCTTGAAGCTCTGGGGGCCAGGAGCCCAGGGTCAGGCTGTCAGGCCCGAAAGCTCCCTTCTTAGCTTAGGGGAGGATCCGTCCCTGTCTCCTCCAGCTGTGGGTGCCCCCAGGTGTTCCTCGGCCTCACTCCAATTCTCCCTGCCTTCTCCCAGGGCCTCTGCGCCTTCGTGGGCGCTGGCTCCCCCTCCTAACTCAGGCACTTTGTGCATCTCCCCATCTCCACAACAGGCCGCGGCAGAGGACCTGGGAGTCAGAGCGGCTTCAGATGGGGGGGGGCACAATTCGACCCCTAACACGGGGCGAGGGGATGGGAGGATGGGTGAAAGATGGAAATGCAGCACGGGGCCACACAGGCCAGATGGAAACGACCCCGTTAAGAGGCGGGTCCCAGGGGGTGTGGCGAGTGTGCGTTAACTCCGAGGGGCTGTTTAAAGCCGCCCTCCTGTTAGCGAGGGGGTGGGCCCCGCCGGGTAACTCACTCCCGGCAACTTGATTTTCTCCAGAATAGACCCTGTCCCAAGAGCAGGGAGCTGAGGCCCAGCCCTCTTTGAAGTGCAAATGTCGACCCCTGGAGCAGCCCTCCCGGAATAATCAGGGCCTCGCATCTGCTGCCCCGGCTGGCCCGCCGGAAGTGCGCCCCGCCAGCTGCTCGGTTCTCTGGGTGCCCCCTCCCCGAAGTCAGGTGGCTGTGAGGATCAGGCCCCAGGCAGACCCGGTAATCACCACTTAGCGGGGAGAGGGAATTAAGAAAACGGAGGGTGTAAAGTGCCGGCCGCAGCTGCCGCCCTGTTCCCCCATTTGCTTGGATGCCTGCTGTCCCGGCTGCTTTTTGGGGATGGGAGCCGCACTCAGGGCCCTTTGTTTGCCATCGGCTTACTTCCCTGAGCCCTAGGCAGCAGGCAGGACGCAGGGGACATTCGGTGGCGTAAGTGTGAGGGCTCAGTGATAGGGATGCAGCGACCAGATTGCCCTGGCAGAGGGACACCCAGCTGGCTGCCCTGGTGTCCCCGTGATGGTTCCAACTCAAGCTCCAGGCCTTAAATACAAGAGAGCACTTTGAATTTTGCCCCAAAAGCCCAGGTTTGGGAATCCCTTGGAGTAGATACGGAGACTGCTGGGAACACCTATTCTTCTGCGGTACACTGCCATCTTGTGGTGAAAAGTGGAAACGCGGCAGCTCACTGACGCGGACAGGGCAGAGCAGTGATATAAGGAAGTCTGTCAAAAAGACTCTTTTGGAAATATCCGCTAGTGTATCCCTAGGAAACCTGCAGATTAATAAAAGAAAAAGTCAGAAAGGAACAGAAAATGTAGGCGGATGGCGCTGGAGCCCTAAGATAGATAACATACTGGGGACCCCCCTGTCTCTGAGACCACACAATAGCTGTTGCTTCTCCTCTTGGGGAATTTCCATGAGCAACGGCCACGGCGTCCATGGAAACTGCCTTCGAACGCTGCAGTCATCCTGATTTCAGTTTCATTTTTTGGAACCTCTTTTAAATAATTTTCTAAATTCCACGCAATAATTGCTCCATATTAAGAAGCCTTTATGCAAAATTCAAGAAAAAAAATTTTTTCAAAATGAGGGAAAAGGGAATCACAGGCCATCGATGTGGCTGGCACAGTGGCCACGCTGGCTCCTCGGGGACCCTTCCCCTGCCACACAGAACCATCCCCACGGCACTGTTCTGACCTCGAAGCTCTGGACATGGGTGAGACTTTCTCCAACAAAGCTTATTCCCAAGGTTCTCATCTTCTTACGTGGTTATTTGGCTCTGGAGTCGAAGAGCCATCCCCGGGAAATCATCCTGAAAGCAGTAAGTCTGAGTATTAAACAAGAGCACCTGGAAGGGTAAAACAGGCGGTTTCTCCCACAAGAGTAAGCGTCGGGGGGGAAGGCTGCCTTTGGCCTTGCCGACCTGGTGGGCTGCGCTCTCTGGTGGATGCTGCCGAGGTTCCAGGGAGCAGATTCGGCCTCCTCGCCCGCCCACCGACCTTGCGCCCCGCCCACCGACCTTGCGCCCCGCCCACCGACCTTGCGCCCCGCCCACCGCCTCCCACGTGTAGGTCCGGCATCCGCGTCCTGCCCACCAGCCGCGCGCCCCGCCCACCCCTCGTGCTCCGCCCTGCGCTCCATGGGGCCTGGAGCCTCAGGGTCAGACCAGCACAGCGCCCCCTAAAGCTGCCTAGAGCTGGGCTCGGCTGGCTGCGCTGACCCCAGGCCAGGAAGGAGGGTGGGCGAACCACAAGGGGCCTTGGCTGAGGAGGGAACCCGAGTCAGCAGCGTGTGTGGCGGTGAGCTTCCGTGAAACCGGACTTTCTGGGCCTCGGGTCCTAATCCGTACAACAGACATGTCTTTAACCTGGGCTGATAGCCAGGATCTCCTTAAGCTGGCCTGGAAACCTCATTTAGGAAGCGCCTTCAGTAGATTGAGAACCAGGGCCTAGGGGTGGGGTGTTCGTACCTTCCGCGCGCTCTTGGAACCCAGGGAACAAGTAACATGCTAGCAGCAACGCCGTTATGAAGTGTGGATGCCCGAGGATGGATCTTTAGTTATTACTTTTTTTTTTAGAAATATAACTTACAACGTACCTGGATTGTAGCCACTCAGTAGACTGAGGCAAGAGGATCACAAGTCTGAGGCCTGTGTGGGCAAATTAGCAAAAGCCTGCCTCACAATAAAATTTAGAAAAAGAAAAATAACTGGGTTGTAGCTCAGGGGCAGAGCGCTTGTCCGGCAGGCATGAGGCCCTAGATTCAATCCCTGTTCTTCAAGACATGCATTTCCTTTATGTAAGTATTTTCAATCAGAGTTTGGGTTTAATCAAAACAGTTGAAACAAAAAGTGGTGAATCTCTCCACACATAAACCAAAGAGTGAAAAATTAAAGTATATACTGGTAGAATATTTATGTAATATAATAGCACACAGAAAACATGTACTGACTGTTAACTTTGTCTCCACTTTGCAGTTGAAGAAACTGAAGTTTAAAAAGTGAACCTGCCACTGGGTGTGGTGGGGCACGCCTGTGATCCCAGCATTCGAGAAGCTGAGGCAGGACGATTGCTGTGAGTTTGAGGCCAGACTGGGCTACAAAGTGAGCTCAAGGCCAGCCTCAACTGCATAGTGAGACCCTGTCTCAAAAAAACCAAAAACCAACCAACCAGGTAGATACATAGCTAGCTAGCTAGATGAGGTAGATGGTAGTAAAGCTGCCCTAAAGTGATAGGCTAGGGGTTGCAATGTCAGGCTCTTAACTGCCACCTAAATTTGCCTTTTTATTGCCATAACAGTTTTAAAAAATATTCATATATACTCTTCTAAAAATCACATTAAATATTTATTTTCTTAGTCAAGTTTTTAAATTTTGGGGTAGATCTTGTTTTAATGTCCGGCTGTGAAGTACCTTCTCTCTAAAACCAAGAACCGGACAGTTTCATAAGTGCCATCTGACAGGTCTACTATTGAGAATATATAAAGAATTCAAAAAGATCAGACCCCCCAAATTCAAAGACCCAATTCAAAAATGGGCATCTCAGATGAACAGACATTTCTGAGACAAAGAGGTAAAAGCAGCAAATAAATATATGAAAAAATGTTCAACATCACTGGTCATTCGAGAGATGCAGATGAAAACAACACTGAGATTCCACCTCACCCCACAAAGAATGGCTGCTATCAAGAAATCAACCAATAACAAATGCTGGCAGGGGTGTGGAGAGAAAGGAACCCTTCTCCATTGTTGGTGGGAGTGCAGACTGGTGCAACCACTGTGGAAATCAGTATGGAGATACCTCAAAGAACTAGGACTAGAGGTCCCATTTGACCCAGCTATTCCCCTGCTGGGAATCTTCCCCAAAGAATTAAAAGACTCATACCACAGCGATATATGTTCACCTGTGTTTATAGCGGCACAGTTTGTAATAGCTAAAGCTTGGAAACAGCCCAAGTGCCCATCAGCTGGAGACTGGATAAAGAAGATGTGGTTTTTCTATACAATGCAGTACTACTCAGCTATAAAGAATGAGAAACTAGAGACATTTATAGCTAAATGGATGCATATTGAGGCCATCCTCTTACGTGAAATAAATAGGACACACATGTGTAAATACCAAATAGTTTCTCTAGTGTGAGAAACTGAAAGTGTAAATAAGGATGAAAATGAATAATTGATAATTTGAATTAAGAAAAGGTCCAAAGGTGAGGGGTGGTGGGAGGGGAAAGAAAAGAAGGAAAGGAAAAACTATGAGAAAAGAAAAAAAAATGGAAACAAAATCTATGTAAATAGGGAAGGGTGGAGGGGGTGAAGGGCACACAGGTAATGGGGGAAAAAATAAGAACCAAGATACATCATGTACAGGTACAAGCACCCAATGATAAATGTAAATGTATACCTAAAATGTACCAATAAAAGAATTAAAAAGAAAAAAAAATAAGTGCCCTCTGAAAAATAACTCATAAGCAAACTTCGGGGCAGGGTTTATCTCTTATAATTGAAAGAACCGGTTTTCTTGATATGTAATGATTTAGTTAAATTAACAAGAAAAAAAATGAATAAATCAAAGTGGTAAAAGGATCTAGAAGACGATAAATGTAACAGCAAGAATGATGACTTCCAGGGCATTTACACCTTGCAGTTTGAGCTGGAATTCTTTTTTTTTTTGGTACTGAGGATTGAACTTGGGTCCTTGCGCCTGCAAGGCAGGAGGCAGAACCACTGAGCTAAATCCCTGGCCCTCTTTTTTTTTTTTAACATTAAGTTCTAATTTATTTCACTGGCAGAAATTTTTACAAAGCTATTTTCACTTTGGAAAAATACTCATTGGCCAAATGAGTATTGGCCAATTGCTCATTGGCGAATGAGCACTTGCTTATTTATACTCACTGAATAAACGTGAGGACCTCAGCTTCTGTGAATAAATGTAGGGTGAGAGTTTACAGTGATTGTGATGCCAGAGAAGACCGACAAGGAAATAAAGCTGATGGTTAAGTTGTGTAAGAAAAAGAAACTGGTGTGGGAGTGTTGTTGCCATCATTTTCTGTGTAATCTTTCTGAATCTTTGTTTGGCACCTGCCTCTTTTGTACATCACAGAGTTTGATTTTGCTAAATTTTTTTCCTTGAATTGGTAAATGAACTCCTTTCCCATGATTGATAAAACTGGTCTCCACTCGGTCAAGCAGGGAAGAGCTGTGGGAAGCAAGACCAGCAAGGCGACAAGCCAGGAGGTAGCTGATGGAGTGCAGGAAAGAAATGGTAGAGGGTAGGGGGTGAAGGATGCCACCAGAATCTGGGATGCAACAAAATAAAGCCCCATGCCAGTTGAACAGGCACCAAGCCCAGGACCCTGTGGCCCATGCTGGCACTGGAAGCTGGTCAGGAACAAGTGTGGTCCTGCCTGGCGGGCTAGCTTCATGCTGGCCCAGCCAGCGTCCCTGACAGCAGCGGGCACTGCCCACGGGGCTGAGCACCAGGGACAGCGGTCACCTGCACCTTGCAGTGGCGTCTGTTGGCTCAGGCTGGGTTGAGGGGTGGTGGCAAGGACCCTAGTCAGTCACTGGGCCTGGGGTGGCCTGGTGAGTAGCACCTGCGAGTGTAGCCCTCTCTTTTCTCTGCAGATGGAGCATAACCTACAGGTGCCCCTGTGGCATCATACCTTTCTCCCACCCCTGAATCTGTCCCTGAACCCCACCCAGCTCGGCTGGTGCCCGCTGCCTGTGATATGGCTGCTGTACCCCGGAGGACGTACCAAGTCTCCGACTCCACCGTGTGGGGCGTAGTGTACCATATCGAAGCAAGGGGGCTCTCCAGGGACAGGCGAGCGCCTCTGGGCCAGTTTGTTCCTCCACCCCAGGACCAAAAGCTGAAATAATGGATTCACAACTGCAGGTTTGTAAAGAGCTGGACTGGGGAGGAATTAGAACTGCAGGACCCAAGCTCTGGCTGCTGGGGTGACAGACCAAGGCCATGCCACGCCCAGGCCCTGGGGCTCTGGTCTGCTCACTCCTCTTTCTCCTTCCTCACCTGCCCTCAGATCTGCAGCAGGGAGAAGACGCTGAGCCAGGAGTGCCCTTGATGTGGTGAGCACCTTGGGCCCCATCCCGGAGTCTGAGCAGCTCCCACTGCTGGTCCAGAAGGTCCCCGGGCTGGACAGGCTTCTCGGGGTTCCCCTGTCTCTGCTACCACCTCTGGAGCCAAAGCCTCCGGGGCAGCCCCATGCTCGCAGCTGCAGTGCCTCGCAGCAGGCACCTTCTTTACAGTCGCTGTTAGAAGAGCACACTGTTCAGTCATCATGTTACCTGCCCTGGTCAGGGATCGTCCTGGCGCAGTGAGGACTCAGCCCCTGGGAGCCAGCACTGATACCCCAGCTCCCCGGCCAGACCCAGTGGCCCCCCCTGCAGTCCTTCCCTCTGCCTCTGTCCTCTCTTGCCCCTCCCCAGGCTTGTGGTTCCTGTCTCTGCTCGTCCTGGGCCTGCAGTGGGACTCTGTGTGGTGTTCATCTTGTCGACTAATCCTGCTCTCCATCGTTTTGGGCCTGGAGGAAATGCCTGGCTGGAGGATGCACTCTACCCAGGCTGCTGGACCAGCCAGGGGCCTGCTGGGCACTCTCAGCCCCTCTGCTGCCACCCTGGCAGGTGGCACCCTGGTCCATATCACTTCCTCCAGTGCCCAGCCATACCTGTGCCTCTGGTTTTCCCAGCTGGCAGATTTTCAGTGTCCCACGGGACCTGGCATTGTAAGAGTCCAGGCAACTACTGTGGGGCACCTGAGTTACCCATCTGTAGAAGGGAGAGGCCGGGTCCCCGCTTTGCAGGTACCCATGCACACACACAGGCGTCCTGAGGTTGGATGTGGCATGAGCACTTTGTAATATTGACTGATTAAACATGTGATGGTTCACAAAACTTGTGCTGAATCTGCTTCTGCCTTTGACCCGCATCCTGGTGGCAAGCGAGGATAATAGGAAGTCACCCTGTCACCCCATCAGAACACTGGACAGGAAGA